TACTTTTGAAACTGTTCCTCCCAAAAGGGCAACCTGAAGAATAGTGGTTTTGGACTCTAGAGACATCTTTTAAGCCAACTTTACAGAAAGATATCCCTCAAAAAACGTTTTTCTATTTTTGGGCACTTTTTGGGATTTGGCCCCACTGTGGGGCGATACGACTGGGCTTCCACACGCGGCTATAAAAAGATTGGATTTGTCCATAGTCTAAAAGTTTGTAAAAAAATCGGTTGTCTGTAAAGTCGCTTTACTGACGATAGTTGAACGTGACAACGTCATAAGAAAATACTAATGGAATGGTTTGCATTTTTCAAAAGAAAATTTAAATTTTATTTGTTAGACAGATGTCGAAAGCTGCCGAACGCGGAGGCCGATTGTGCCTCTTTTTCGCTCGTTCCGCGCTCTCGCTTGCACTTCAAGCCTTAAATGGAACGCCTCAGAGCGAGGTAACGCCGCATGAGTCATGTTTTTTCGTGCGTGCAGCCGGCTCCATCGAATTATAAGACGTTGTCACGTCAAAATCCTCTTGTCCCCGAAATCCCACAACTATTAGATCGCAAGTCCGACACCTTAGCCATCGACACTCAAAATATTTGAGAACTTAAAATATTGCCTCTATCCTGTCCTCAGAAAAAAGTCTTATTTTGAAGTACATTTAATTATTTGTTTACAGGCACGTACATTGCTGTTACAAGACGCAGATGACTGACTGTATCTCGAAGGAATTGTTTAAGGTGACGACATGGCTCAAGCTACTTCACTAAATTAATACGCACTGAAAATCGTTTTGAGTTTCAAGGACACAGTGTTCTAGCATTTTGTTGTATGTAAAAGATTTTAAATTAACTTAAACGTCGAGATATGTTTTTTATATTTCGTCGGGTTAATCTTCTATCTAGTTAAGCCAATTAAGACTAGAGCTGAGACCGCCTAATCTGGTGCACTTATGACTAAACAGTTATACTTGGAACCGAGTGCAGGAATGGTTCAATCCAAAATGTCAGTACAGTGGATGTTTGAGGGGGAGTTTATAAAACAGAAAATGTACAGCAACAATAATGTACAAAGAAATTTCAAAATGGTGGTGTCAAAGTATTGTTGCTAAGGTATTAAATATTGCATTGTTTCTGCACATCACGGTTCGCTTATAACTGTCAACCTATACATTTGTCAACACTTCGTTGTTTTGTCCACAGTATCTATGTTAATGTGATTGAAACAAATCTTTCAATTTATTATGTTTAAGTATTTTCGGCATTTTTGGAAGTCAATTACAGTCTTTCTTAAATAGATTTAATATAAACATACACGCATTTATTCAAATAGTACATGTTATTTATATAACCATAATATAGGCAAAATTACATATTAAAGATTTCAATGTCAATTGCTCGCGGCTCGAAGGCCCATGTAATATGGGTTATCCACCTTTTGGAGTATGTAGGTACGTGTATGTCGGATGAATACACATCTATGTATCCAGCCGTACTGATATTAGTGAGCGAAGTACTCATGGCTTAGGATTGATAGTGTTTTAATACTAGTAAACATAAGGCACAAGTTAGCAATTCTCTGAACAAATCTTAGCTACGCACCATCATTTAAATATTTAGTTTAGTTATGTCAGACTTTTTTCTTAAGCATTTCGAGTTTAACCAATAGTTCCAAAACCCAATAAAAATAAAGTGAACAAAATAAATTATAATAAGCTTTAAAATATATATAACATAATTAAAAACTATATATATTTAAAAAAATATGTATTTTTATTAAAATATATGTATTGCAGACAGGGGTAGTCTCATATAAGAGGCCCCTCAAAGTATTGCACCTGTTAGGGTTCTTGATGTTCCAAATGTCAGATACCAGCCAGTGTTCATATTATAACGAACGTTGTTTAAAATATTGAAAAAAAGAACTATTTAGGGTTGCGAAGTTTATAAAGTCTACTAACTGTGGCCCAAAGTTGAATGTAAATTTATTGACGAGAAGAAGACGAGGACCCATACAATATATACAAGACGTACAAAGTGCGCAAATAAATTAAAGCATTAGTTTAATTTCAGTGATTGTTTCCAATTGGATCAACAAATTTAAAAAAGCCACAATCTTTTTATGGCCGGGCGCCATAAAAAAATATGGGATAAGATTTTTCTTTGATCAAAAGTTAAATTCGGATAGAGCAAGAGGGTGTAAGAGTCTTGGATGGGAAGCGACTGAGACTGCAGCAGTTTGAAGAGGCCAGGATCTCTTACACGTGTGTCCGGGGCATTAATTGGCTGAAGAAATAAAAAAAATAAAAAATCACCTTGTAGGTGTTCAACGATGTTGCGAGATTAAAAATATCTTATAATTTACTTTTACCATTTGTAAGTTTTCATACACGCTCTTAGTTTAAATTGTTAGGTCTTTGATTCAAAGTATTATAATAATTGTTTTTCATGCTTTTTGCTGTTATTTTGTATGTATAAAATCGTGTTGCTCAAAAATGATCTAATCCACAGTAAGTAAAATTTTACTATAAAAAAAAAAACTTGTATCTATGATCTTTGTAGAAAAGCTTAATTATAATGATTAAAATTCCTTTTTTCATTGCAACTATTAGTACTAACGCAATTTTTTTGTTATCTCAATATGAATACAGATAATTTTAGACACTCATTATTGATTTCACTATTTTGTGGATTAAATCGTTATGAACGACGCGGTTTACTCGATATTATATTAAGACCATTTCTAGATTGTACTTTGTTGAGACAATATCAATACTTTTTACTTTTTTTACCGACCTTAAAAGACTAGGTCTCAATTTGGCTGTATTTTTTAAATTTGTTTCCTTAGAACTCCGTCATTTAAGAACTGATTTTAAAAATTCTTTTGTCATTTGGAAATTTGGAAGTTCTCTTCCATCTTATTCAAATTTGAAGACAATTTTAACCCACATTGCCACCGGTAAGTGGTATCCGAGGGGATTACCGCACAGAAAAAAAAGGGTCACAATTAAATACTGAAGAATACAGTTTAATACAATTCATCATAATGTAAATTATTATGATTTTTTATATGCAAAACTCTTCTTACCATTAAAAAAAACTCTGTACAGTCTATTACTGCTAGTTTTATTTTTATAAACGAATTAAAACGATGCCATTTTTTGTTTTTGTACATTTTAGGTAGGAAACTGAATTTATACATTAAAAAAAAATTTGATTACATTGCAATGTTATAAGTGTTATATTTACATATATTTTATTGTACATCTTACAGCAAACCATAATTCATATACATATTAATGTATTTTTGTTTAGTTAAGGAACAACATTTTATAGTTGAAAGATCATATTTTTAACTTTATTTTTGTTACGATATATTGTTTTTTTGTTTAATTGTTTAAGTCTAGACGAAAACATATAAGCACTTTTCTTGTAGATTTGTAATTCGAATAAATTTATGACATCATTGTAGTTCATTTTATTTGTTAACATCCATAGTTAAGAGAACAGACGTTAAATGTTTTCATAATCTTTCTGCTAAGACTTCTTAGATACTAAACGTCTATAAACTCCTACCATGGCCTTGCTGGCTAATCTAATAAATCTGTAAAGTATCTACATTAAAGTATCCACTTCATGGCAACAGTCTTGCAATTTACGCTTTTTTTTCCGCCGAGCTAGCAAACTAAGGTTGGCTTAGTGATATGGCTGAACTGAGAACGCGGAGAGCGCGGCTATTTCAAAGTTTAGTAGAAAAACTGTGCCCCTTACGACTTCTACATATAGAACTAAAACATACTACAGCGCCATCTAACGAAGTAGCACCGACCTACGGAGTAACTGCTAATCCTGTATCGCGATATGAAAAATTCTCACGACTATTAGCATATACACAACTTTCTAACCTTAACCGTTGGGCAACAGTAAGCCAGGCAACCTCGCCTTGTCGGAGGATCCTCCTTTCGCGTTGGAGAGACATGACACCGTTACTCCAATATGTATATACTGAAATAGTGCAGGGTCAGCTTTTCTTCTTCTTCTTTCTCTTTCTTCGTCTTCGGTAATAATATATATGCCATTGCCATTGCCATTGGAGGTTATAGACAGAGCATTGGACAGACACAATTAGCCTCAATATGCTTTTAAACAAGTTAAGAGATATAGGAATATCACGAGCAGCACATAAAATTCATAGGTCGTACTTAGAAAACCGGAAACAAGTAGTCAAAAATGAAAACCATGCAAGTTTACCTGCTAAACTAACATACGGAATTCTTCAAGGATCGATTCTCGGCCTCCTGTTGTTTTTAATTTATATTAATAATATAAACAATGTTGTGTGATAGCTTGTTTAAAAAGAGTTTAGAAGATTACATTAGCAAAAAGCACTGACACCAATAAAATTGTCTTCATATCTTTAGTTTTATATTACTGTATAGTGTATTGTGATCACAGAGATAGGTACTTAACTAATTTATTTTGTTATTACATTTTCTCATTATATAAGTGAACTGTATTGTTCTTTTTTCTGAGAAATAAATGTCTTTAAACCGATATTTAGGAGTAGAACCGTGATCAGGAAACCTAGATCTTGCAGAGATCTTTGTATCACCAGGATAACCATTTCAAAGTGACACGCAAGCGTTGAAAAAGAGTAAATATGTGGATTTACAAAGAACTTATGGGAAGTGCGGGGGGGGGGGGGGCGACTCAAAGGAAGCTAAGTACTTATGACTCTGAGTTGCAGGTGCAGGTGAGTCACCTGCTGGTTGCCCTCCCCCCATACCATAAAAAGCAATAACGTTTATTAGTTATACATTACTTATTGTTGCACTAGTTCTTGTCGATTTTGCTCACGTTATGTCGATTTATCATCAGCCTATCGCCGTCCACTGCTGAACGAAAGCCTCCACCAAGGAGCGCCAACTATCCCTCTTAGTCAGTCCGCATTCGATTCTACTGTCAATTGTGTCAATATTTTTTTCCGGTACAAGAATTCCATGTGGTGTTACACAGTCTATTTCTGTGCAAATTTCATCCAGACCCATTCAGTCGTTCTGGTGTAATAGATCACAAATATCCATCCATTTTGTTGCGGGTTCTAAGACAGTTTAATTTCTTCCTGGGACTTCCCGAGTGTCATAACTCGGTGTGTTCGTGGGTCACTGCTGTAGATCCTGGTGTACAGGAGTTACAGTGGTGGGCGTGTGGGTGGGATTAGTCCCCGTAAATATCCATCCATCCAGTCTCGCATTTACAATAGTAATAAGATCTAAATATCTACTAATTCAAAGTTCTAAATATTTTCGATTTGTTGTATGTTCTATGCTTATTGCAGATCCAATTGATCAATTTAATTAAACGATATATATAGACTAGTAGAATATGGTAGATTCCTATTCCTAAATTTAACATTTTAAAGTACAGTCTGAATTGTCCTCCATTGTCAATTGACTTTTTATATCCTCAAATCAACATTAAATATAAAAGTTTTGACAATAGCTAGGATATGACGTCACATCATTTTGGCATTAATTTAAGATACTAATGTGACTTGACAGTCATCTACCCCATAAGGCAGTAGTAGTGGAGTAGGGTCAGGCAGTCGTGCTCATCCGACCAGATCAGAGTTTATGTTGCGATTAGCCCGCACTGAAATCTTAACCATTTGCCATGCCCCTTTTTCCCACTGGGCACTTTGGCACGTGCCCAGGGC